TCTTCTGCGCCTTCTTGCCTTTGGAGGGCCTTCTTCATTGCGAATATCATAACCATAGATGGCAATCAATTCGGAAGGCGACTTAGGCGACTGCTCTTGATCGTTGAACCTGCAGAAAGGCCACCAATTGACTAAAAATTCGACAAAAAAACCTGATGAACTTACCGATCATGGCCCCATCTTCCCTCTTTGTCCCAGATTTTCTTTTTCCCGTCTTTGTCCACCTTTTCCGGTTCGGCTTCTTCCTGATTCTCTCTGGAATATCAGTGACCGTTAATAAGAAAACTATACCTACATAAAAATCTAGAACTTACAAGTCCTCAGCTGTTCGGTCGTCATGTTCATAGAAAGTTCCTCGCTTTGGGATGTACTGCGGGTTCTTCTTGTCCTCATCATCATCCACCTTCTTCTGTGGAACGCTTTCTTGGCCATCACCTTCTTCACGTTCAAGAGCCGCACAGTCTGCCCAATTAAACAGGAAATTAATATCGACATATGACTAATAAAATTAGAAAATTGCTGTTTTTATCTAAACCATTATAAAGTTAAGGGCCATCAAGTGCGGCAAGCGTGCCCTTTATATCAATAAACGTGGCACTGAGCCATGAGCCATGAGGGGGCTTGCTATCCAACTAACCTTCTGTTTCCGATTGGGAATCCAATCCAGATGCCTTAGAACGGGCTTTTCCAATAGGTTGCTCATCATCGTCACTGTAACTATCCACGCTGTCGTACTCTGAGATCTCAGACGAAGTCTTTTCCTTCACTGCAGCCTCAGCCACCGCAGGGCTCTCCTGTAAAATCATGGTGCGGGTTGAAGGCAAATTTCACCAGTAAACGAACACAACGTGTACGAAATCAAGGTGAAAACGCACAAAAGCGGTGAAGGTGCTCCACTTAGTGAACTTGCGACCCAGATCAGTGCCTCTTTCACTTTTACTGTGAAAATGTGCAGTGTATGGGGGGGATTTTTTGCCACCTACCTGGCTCTCATCGGGGGTTTTCTCCACATTATCCTGATCAGCCATTATAACCAACTAACCGACGATGCAAACAGTAATATTTGGGGAATCTATCTCGCAGATCTATCTGAGGAAGATACTTTGTTTTTTTTCGGCTCTGTAAACCTTACGGTTGGAGACGCACTGCGAAAGGTTTGCGGGTCTCTGTTTTTGCCGTTTGATGAACAAAGAGAAAATCGGCCTGAGCAGTCGTAGCGTTGGACTTTAAGCAGTGACATGTGTCAACGTCTTAGGTTATATAGTCAGTGTCTTCTTTCTCGTCTCGCGGAATGCCTCTTAAAGGGAGACAAGAGAGCACTAGACAGTCATAGATAGTAACAGTAGCATGGAATCAAAGCTAGTTTACTAAATATGTGGCAGACAAACAGGCATGAAAAGAGTTTTAATTTTTTTTGGGCTCAGGCCTTTGAATATAAAACTAACACTAAGTTAATTGAATATAAAACTAAGTTAGTTTTATATTCAAAGGCTCAGGCTTAATGCACAAGGGATATTAATACTTAAATTTTGCTGTGGTTGTCATTAGAATTTAAGTTGGCTTCATAGTTTGAAAAGTTGTATATTAACGCCCTAGATGGCGCAACTGATTTCTCTAGTACTGTGCAGTATGGAGAAAATTTGACACTTGTCACAAAATAATAATATCAATTTAATTTTTTTGGTGTTCTTTTGGAGTTTAGTAGATCAAATAAGTAAAAAAATAATTTTATTTTCTATCTGGTGTGCAGTTCACCAGTTGACACAGTCTTCATATCCACCATATCGTCAATTTGCGTTTGTCTCATAGCCCCATTTTTTTATATTGTCCTCGTTTAATTTGTTTGCTGGTATTTTTCTAGACACTAGAAATTGTTAAAACACTTCACGTTGCTTATTCGAAAGGTGTTTTTGATTATATTTCAGTAAAAATGGTGAGTATGGGCGTCAGGAGCAGGAATTTCATTCTGACGTTTCTCAAGCACGAGGGTCCTGCACTTTAAGCTATTATAGATGCAAAAATCCCACCAGTTTCGATTTGTCTTCAGCTGAACATGGAAGGAATTAATCCAAATATTCTCATCTTTACAGCCCAAAAAACACAAACTGAAGTCTGGGGTCACTTTCCAACTGGTGAATAGAAGCCAGCAAGATCCATTGATTACTGATGAGAATGCCCCGCAACATGTCTTGGTTCCAATCAGTAAGGACTTTAAGGAAAAGCGTAGAGAAGAGCAAATAAAGTATGGAGTTTACTTCGATGATGAATTCGACTATTTGCGGCATCTCAAAGGTAAGGAATGTCTTGCCAATTTCACCGTACTTACGGTCAATGTTAGTTGGTCTGGCACTGTCTATTCCTCAACTTTAAACATAATGCGGACAGCCACAATCCATGAAAGAAGCTTCGTTTTTTTATTTTCAGATCGCAAAGACAACCACGTGCATTGGCCAGACAACGTGGAGGAGCTTCTCGAGAAGAGGAAGCAGGATCGGGACAAACCCAAACTCGAACTACCATCATCAGTTTTCCCTTCCAAAGTGGAGGAAGACGTTGGAATGTTAAACAAAGCAGCCCCCGTGACTGGTTAGATAAACACATTGATGAGTATTTGAACATTTGCTACCCATGCTTCTTTACTGCAGGCATTCAGTTACAATTGGATCGAGACATCGTTGCGGCAATGGATGAGGATTTTGATTTTGAGGACGTCGACAACCAGTTGGAGGATAACTTTATGGATTTGGCTGGCAGTGAGGTGTCGGACGACGCTTTGGTTCCGAACCGCTTGGAAGACTTTCAATATGACGGTGAAGAATTAGACCAAATGGGGTTAGCAAGAGCGCGCTCAATTTATCCAAACTGTTTTTCATTTTAACATTATTCTGTTTAGGCCTTGGTCGGGTGATGATCGGCCATTTTCCAAGCCCAAGTCCAGATTTACTGAACACTCAGTATCAAGTTCGGTTATCCGAAGGAATTCAGAACTGCAGCTTTTAGATGCAAGATTCGAAGTAGTGAGTTGATTGGTCACAAATTGTTGCCTTTGAGCGGCTGGGAACTGATTTTTATTTCAGCTTGCTGCACAGTACGATCCAATTCACATCGGCAGTCTCGATACAGAAGAAATTGATGGATACGTACCACTCGACATGAACGACTCTAGAATCAAAGCTTGCTATGACGAATTTGAACAGTCGCGAGCTGTTAAAAAGCTGGATACCCCAACGTTTGACCAAAAAACAAAAGAATATATCCTGAAATTTCAAGACATTGGTGAAGTAAGTATAGTCTGTCCCATGCTGTTTGCTCGTGACGCAATAATTACCATTCTTTCTCTATTACTTGTCCATCGAACGAGACGGAAATTTGATTCTATTCGCGTATGTGTTTCAGCAAATTGTTAAAATTCCCGGAGGTGTGGAATTTTCAAGTTATTGATTTGAATTCTTGGCGAGTGTTGAAGTTTTTGCTTCAATGTACCGATACGTCTCGATACTGATAGGATCAATTTTGTGAGCGCGAACAACGGTTCATTTTGCTCATGTTTTCAACACAATCGTCTAGTATGAGTCCTTTTTTTTTTCAATTTTTTCGTCAATTCGTTATTGGACTGCAGGTTTACCAGCACGAAAATAACACACTAACGCTCACCGTTAATGCCAAGAACTGTACAATTGAGTCACACATTAGGGAACTCAGAATGGCAACCAGGCAATAGGAGAGAAAATCTTTCGAGCCAATCGGTAAAATAGCTTGGATCAGACTACAGTTTGGTGGTATCAAATAACTGTCCCATCGCTTTTCTGATAATGAAAGTCGAATATTTGAGTCATTGGAATTGAAATATCGCGATTTACAGGAGAGCGAGGAGTCAGAAAGTGAGGAAGAGAAGACCGTTTGTACTAAATCCGATGTGAGCACGCTACCCAAATACGTCAACTTGCCAACACTAATCGATGTTCCTAAAGTAAGTTTGTTGAATGTGATATTTTAAGATCGACTTCGCACGCTTCCAAAGTGAATTCGTCACTTTGGAAGCCTAAGTTGCAGACTCAAATCTTAAAAAATAATGCGTTTATTCACTTTAGCGTAAACAGATTCAGACCGATCGAGTTGGCATACCCAGGGATGTTTTGGGCAACAATCAACTCACCAGGAAGACTTTGGGGAAACTTGATGGGGAGAACGCTAAAGAAGAAGGTGCTAAATCTTTAGCAGGTGAGCGAAACTGTTCTAATCCCCAATCACAATACTTTTTCACGTTTTTTACTATTTTAAAAATGAACATTTTCTTGTTGCTTCAGGTAAAACCCTCGTCTCTCAACTATCCGAGCTGTCTATAAGGCCGAAAGGCGAAACTTCGGAGGAAAGAAGATTAAGAAAGAAAGGTCTCAAAGAGATTAGAAAGCAGCGGAGAATGGAGAAGAAACAAAATACCCTGCTATTTAAAATATGTAGTAAGCAGGAAGCCCTGATTGCCTTAAATAGAGGCAACATGCCTGGAACGAAGCTCCCGTAGATATCTTCATGTAAAGAAGTCAGCCCCGAGCCGAAAGGCAACGGATGTTCTTGTTATTTTTTGTGACTCAAAGAAAGTGATTTGTAATAGCAATATGCTGTTTTCGTGGGAAACTCCATCAGTCCTGTTGGCTTGTCCTTTTTCTGCTCAAATCAATTTTTTTTCAGAGCTTTCCCGTTGTCCGTCCTTTCCCTTCCTAAACCTCCACCGGCTAGCGTCCAGTTTTTGGCGAATTTCCAATCAAAAGGTCCCGTCAATTTCATCATTTCAGGTCAGTAGTTCATCATTTGTTTACTGTTGTTCACGTGTTTGTTAGTTTTGCAATATCGGCATATTTTGCTCAGGTTTTTTAGAGCTTCTGCCGCTGATAGAAAGGCGTCGACCTTAGTTTATCTGCTTGATAATGAACTGTTTTTCTCACTGACCTGTGAGTGTATTTTTCATGGTCAGATGCAAACGCGTGAAATCAAAAACCCAGTTTTATTAAGTATTTTATTGGTAAAACGTTTCGAACAAAATGAATGCCGACTCGGTCGGCACGAAGCGTCGGTAAAAAAGTCTATAATAATCAAAGTTACATACGTAACGTAAACTAACACTATGAATGCATTGGGGTATCACAAAATAAATTTAACCTACTAACACAGATGGGGGTTGGGGGCGTACTTTCGATATTCGAAATGCACACCCCACATTCAAGAGTAGCTTAGAATAGTACAAAATATGCTATTTTATGGTCTAGTAGAAGTAACCTATTGAACATTTATGTTATATGTTCTACTCTAGTAAACACACTTTGCACATATATGCCTATTTGCTTGCATCGATTACTGACTAAATAATGTGCTTGAAGAGCAGTTATTTAAGTATCTATATTGTCAAAACAGTTTTTGGCCCCATTCGCTTAAAAACTGAAAAGTCTGGCAAACCCAAAGAAAACTGGGAAAGAACGAAGGAGCCAGAATCAGTACAGTTGAAAGTTTTACACAGTAAAAATAACAAAAATCTCAATGTGAGACCAAAGTTGCGACTACGCAAATTCCCGTATTTCCTTCAGATCGTCAATTTACATCGAACGAACCGAAGTCAATGCTCACTAAAATACTAGATTAGGTAGAGTCGAGATCAAAACCATGCGGAAACTTATCGAAAACTCCTCGATGAAACTACCAGGACGGCATGTAGAGCTTGCGCGACTCGGTAATTTCACTCCTACAGAGTGGACAACGTTCGATTCGAGCCGCGCACGTCGAGCAAGCCACAACATGCGCGCATGGCATAAACACCGAATCCAACCGATTGTCCATGCAAATTTTACAGGTCAATGCTTCGATAATTCTGTTCAGCTTTTCGGAGTCCTGAAACAATTAAACGAATATTGAAATTAATCGTTTTATAGTTTTTTGTGTAAATCAGCGTTTCGCTTGTAGTAGTTGCAACCGCCTTCAAAGCGGATGAAACTAAAAAATCTGTGGAAGCTCCAGACTAGACCTGAGTAACTCAATTTTTCGGAGTTGGCGCAGTGCCACGCAAATGGCTTCGTGCGCCAACCCAACGCAACTGCGCAGTAACTCAGTTCCGTTGCTGAAAAAATGCTGATGACTTTTTCACTTGTTAGGGCAATTATTGGGGAAACTCGTTCCTTTTGTCGCTGTGAATAATTTGGTTTACTCAAATTCCGGTTTGTTCACTTTTAGGTCAATATTTCTAAACAAAACGCTCTCTCTGAACAGAACAACGCGTTTTTCCTAACGTTTTACTGTAAAATAGTGGCAAACTGCGAGTCGTTTATGCAAAAAGTTAAAAGATGGATTTTACAAGAAAAATCGTCGTCTTTACAGTTTGGTCTTCTTTATCGTCTTTTTCGAATACCCGTTTTACTTTTGAATTTGGGACAAAATCGAAACAAAGTTATCTTGTTTTCCTTTCGACAAAATTTAGGTTTTCTCAAAAAACGACCAGACAAAGCATAAGCAATCAATATTTGGAAAACTCGTCACCTTCATCGCTCTGAAATTAATTTAAGTTTCTTCAAAATTCCCGCATCTTCCCGTTTTAGACCAAATAGTTTCAAGCAATCGTATGCGCAAAAGCAATATGTTGATGGCTTTTTGTTAGATGTTAAAACTCCGCCACCAGCCATGACTTATAACTCATTAACTCAGAGAGCGGCAACAACTCAAAAGCGCAACACAGTGTTACCCAGGCCTACTCAAGACCCTCCGGTAGCAAATTATTTAGTCGGACTTCCACAAATGATTCGCTGCCGAAAGGACTCATTCCCTTTGAAGGCAGTTGGAGATAATATAACCGAAACGTCGAAACATTTCAATTTAGCTCAAAACTACTCACTTTGCAATGTTCTCCATCACAGCCATAACCGCATAAGCGAGGATTTTCGGCTTCCAGGGCTAATCTGGCTTGACTTTCCTGGTAAATGGCGCGACGTGCGTTGTCATACACTTCCCGACAAGTCCGTCTAATGTCGAACACATATTTCTTTCCCAGCGTGGAATCTTCGTTGAAAATCGAAACTATGGTGCCTTTCAAGTCTCTGATGAACTGGGCTGTTACAGCACTTCGAACTGTTTCGCAACTGAAAAAAAGCAATTTTTTTAATAGAATTCTTTAACAAAAAACATTCAAGCCGCATTTGAAAAGTGCGCTTAGCGCCGTGTTTGATGTGGATCCGGCCACGTGCACATTTGGTAGAAAGGATTTAAGCGTTAAACTCTATTTAAATATAAATCCAAATGTAATCCATGCATCAACAGAGTGATAGGGCTATTCATAGAAAATATGATTTTGTATTTTGGCAGCATTGGTTGTGCGCTCGTGGAAATTCACCGGAAAATCGCATTTTGTCGCATCGCAACAATCCAGTTCATTATTATACAGGGGAAACCAGTTGAGACGATAGCAACTTTTATGAAAATTTACATACCATATTTTTTCATATAACACCCTGTATATATTCAATAATGGCTTTAGGCAACAATGTTCTAATTGCCATGGTTACCCGTTATCACCGCCGAAACGTTCGTTCACTCTCGTGCCATTTCGTCGACGTAGTCGACGTGGAAATGGTGATTAGTAAACAGGGTGCGCAATTTGGGCAGGTGGAAATTCCAAAAATGCCCCGAAATTCCGATTTTTGTGCGGAAAATTGTTGATTTTCTTCAATAAAAACGCGGCGCCCATCTTTGTGCGGTATTTTACCCATCGGTAGTGCGATTTTAGACGAAAAACGGCGACTTTCCAATTTGGGAACTTTCTGACGTTTACCTGCCAAGCCAAGCTAAGTGGCCATATCGGCATGCGCCAAGTCGCAGTCATTGTTGCCAATGTTTGACATTGAAGTGTGTTACTTTAGGACTTTAACCGTTTGGAGGATGTTTTGGAGGTTTCCTCCCAGTGTGGATGGAGAAATGAGCCACTCAATGGTAGGTGCAAGTTTTTAACGGCTAAAGCTCCCACATATCGATTCACCTATTTTAAACCACCCTAACCCAGTATATTAGATCTTAAGCGAAATAGGCTCATAAACGATAATACGCTTATGCTTGCCTCTAATTTGACTCATTAAAGGGGCAGCGTTAGATGTACCCAACTACCGGTCGGGCGGAGATTTCCTTAATCGTTTCACTTTATTTCAATCAGCATGAATAAGCCCCGATCGATTGTCTTCATTTACGTAAACTACATGTAACCGAATAGTATTTATAGATATTGATTTCGCAATGTTACCTTCCTCCTAGATCATTATAGACTCACGGTACGATATACACGGTGTCCAAGATAAGAAAGGCCAGTATGGAGATTTGGAAAGCCGTAATTTATGCGAAGTTGATTAAATGGAAGAAAGTTGGGCAAGGCTAACAATTAAAGTTATTATAATACAGGAATTTTCAGTTTTTTTCCAAATAAGCTCCATTTTATTAGGTAATCTTTTAATTGTCCAACTTTTTTAGCATGTCTGGTTTCCGATATCCCCAAACCAGCCCTTCTTATCTTGGTTGTCGGTACTAGAGAAAAACGTGTTATTCTACTCTACCAGGAAAGCATGTCTATCATTTAATAATTTAATTAATAATAAAAACTTATCTTACCTATAAAATGCATGTTTTTCCGTAATGGCCCGATAGAGACTGCTGGCATTGTGGCTGGAGTCTAGTTTGACTTCCAAGAGCGCTTCCTTATTCTCGCATGAAAAATACTCCAGCTTGAAGGTTCTCCGATGGGACGAAGCGCTTACGATGTTTGTAAAGGAAATGAGCTCTTTTTCCAGGCTGGATTTATCATAAATCGTTATTCCTGCAAGGAAGCAAATGGAAAAACGTGTCAATCGGGTTTATTTTTAACTGAAATCCACGTTCAAATATTTACTTGTCGGCTTAGTATTTGGTTTATCAATGTAAAATTCAAATCACCGGTTATTAACACCAAACTGTTTACATGAATACATTTAAAATGTGCTCACTGTAATTAGCAAGAGAATGACGGGTATGTTATCGTTGTGTGTACCTACCATGAGGTCCGACGCCTAGGTATATATTGGCGGTGGTTTTCGTGAAAAGTTCCTCCCCGAAGGACTCAAAGTCGGATATTTCCTTCAGCAGCCAATACTCGGCAGTGGATCTTTTCATACCCTTCAGCTTCTTGTGCTCTCCAATAATCCGTTGGAGAAGATCGGTGGGCTTGGGAGTTTGGCAGTCGCTGCTAACGGTCGATGCCTGATGACAAAACAAGAACAATCAGCCTAAAAATTAATTAATAAACGCCGGTTTCTTACCTGTTCATACAGACTATGAGGAGGATGCAAAGAATCATAGTCTTCAGAGTCAGCTTGAGCAATCAGAGCTACAACTCTGCACGCACTGTCCCAGTCGTTAGTCAAAAGTCGCTTCTCAATAAGGTCTGATTTGGCATGAAGGAAAAACTGATGTCGGGTGTTTTCCTGCAGCAGCAGATGCGGTGGAACCCAGAATTTCACCCGCAGGGCCAGTCTTAAGGGCGAAGTATGTCCATGGCAATTCACCTGCCTATCTATGGGATTCCTCAGGTTTAGCCATAGTTCTTCGCCTTTGGCATTCTCGTACTTCAACCCGAAATAGTCCGATTCGTTGGCAATTCCCAGGTTGTTGCATATCTGGAACAACAACAAAGTTGCAAAAAACTTCAAGTTTGAACAGTTATTAATGATATCATGAGCAATTTATTGTATGTCCTAAGCCGGTGTAAAGGTCGAGATGTATTAATTGCGAACTAATCAATAGGATTGTATCATTAATTTCTATTTACGTGGTATGCAAATTTTGTCAAAATGGTTTTATTTAAATTGCTGTCGTCTGTTTCTCATTGCTTGATTTGCAAAAATGAAACCACAGCCAGTGCATTCCGTTAATTTCAGCCAGTTTTAACCAGCAGTAACTTCTGTTTCCTAGTCGTTAAGAACGTTTACTTTGCGAAAATAAAAAAGAATCGAAATAAAGGCATAAAATAGCTGTTTCCGCATGCCATTAAACGAACCGCGGATTTGCGTAAAGACAATGGATTAGTCCTCAGCAAGAGGAAGAAAATTCTTTCGAAAAATCGCTGGCAATTTCCATCGCCAATGTTGTTCTTTGCCATCTGGTTATTAAAAACCAGATTGCCTGAAAAAGATAAACGCCGGTTCGTGAGAAACGGGGTCCAAAGTCCAAGTCGTGGGTACTCAGGTACGATCCGGCCGTCACGGAGGCACACGCTTCGAAAGCGTGTATTTACTTGAGGTACTTTTTGCAGTACATCCGCAAAACACATCTACGATAAACCCGTAAGCAATAGTCTCTTCCACGCATTTTGGCAGTGACGCAATACTACTATTACTTCTCCACCGAGCTAGACGGAAATTTGATGCTATTAGCCTATACGCCTTCCTTCAATTTTTTCCTCCAGGTTTTTGCTTCAATTTATCGATACATTTACTATTTGTCTGTGTATTCTTTTCGGGTCTCCAACTCCAAAGCCGTATTGTGAGGGCGAACAACGGTTCTTTTTGCTCAAATGTTCACCACCATCGCTTAGATCTTCTCTGAGTTCCTCCTTTTTTCTTCTGTTTTCTTTACAATTTGCCTGCTGGTTACCAGCACGAGAATAACACATTTTATCACTACAGTTAACGACCAGTACTGTACAACTGAGGCAATTTAATAACGAAACCCAAAAAAGTATTTTATTTGAATTTTTTTTTAATTTTCAAAAAATTGGTTTTGTCCCCCCACACTACTTCTACCAAATTCCCAAAAATCACTCGATTTTTATTATATAAAACTGATGCTTCCATTCTAGAACGTAGCTTACATCGGTGGTCTCTCTCGCACACATATAAACCGATGATAAATGCACCATGGCTTATGCGTGCCACGTTCCAACTTGCCACCTTCACGGCTTAAATTTCTCAGTTTCAAACGAGACAAAGTTTAAACAATTTTATGAAATAATAATAAAAGTTTTCGCCCGCTTCATCAAAATGGGCAAAGCGACTATTTTCAACAGTTTTGAAATCTTCCATTTTCGAACGTTCTTTCAGAGCCAAAGCACTGAAATCAATCAGAATAACGCGATTTTTAAAAAAACGTACTTGTTAAAACTCTCTCGGCCAGAACAATCAAATAATTGGAACATTGTTACATGGTCGCGTAATTGGCCTCCAGCGTATCACGTTCTCGGGCTCTCCTCCGAATGGACTTTGATCGGGAATCTTGGTGCAGCCGCCAGCTTTTCAATCGCCTTCTTGAAACTCGTTTTTTCCCTAAACTATTTTCGGAATATCAAATGACTTGCGGCTGCAGCATGCTTCAAAGTGCATTCCCAACAACCAGCATGTGTTTGTCAACTTGCCATTGTTTACCTATACGATTTCGCGCAATTAACTATTTACTATGAATACAACTATGAATTGTAGTTCGTTTGGTTTTGCATGCTCAGGAATCAAGGGGATTAAAATTTGGGCAGTTATTGACCAGTTCTCATGGTCAAGTGGAAACTTTGTTTTTTAAAATTGAACGAGAACACGTTTTCTTAATTAACCATATCCAAACCCATCTTCGTTTTGCAATTGGTCGACTACCTTGCTGATTCTGAACTTTAACCGGGCCCGACATTAAAGCGCTTTAGGTGGATTAATTGTCGATGGCGCAATTTAATTGGGATACATAAATATTTTCGGTTTTAGGCATTGTTTCCAGCCTTAATCGATGTTATTTGTCAGCTATCTAGTTCGCGATTGTCGACTTTGTACCCGGTTGCTTCACGGTTTTCCGGCCGTTTCCAAGTGGCAACAGAAAGTCAGGTTTGCGACGAAACGAAATTGCATAGTGGGAAACAATGTGTTTCACGTTGAGCAATCCGGCAACAAATATTATGGAAAATTCACACAGGCAATGAACAACAGATGGAAGACTTAACAAAAGCCTCTGATACCGTCCACCAATGTTTGCATCTCGATTTCGAAGCTCGTCGACTAAATTGTGACTAAGTTGGATGTGTGGACTTTGCCCCAATGCGCCTACGGAGAGTCCACCGTTGGATTTCCGAGTAAATTGCCACCGTTCCTACCAATAATTACTGGCCGTTCTCTTCGAAGCATGCAATGTGCCGGTCAAAGTCCATTGGAAATCGCGATTATTTCAGCAGATCAGATTGCGTTAAAAAATCGCTTTTGCTCAAAACCCGAAAAAACCCGTTAGAAATTCCACCCAAAGCTCGTTCAGTGAATTATAGTCATTTGTTAGTTGAAACGGGGCATTAATTTTCATATTTTTCACCCACGCTCAAATTAAGTCCAATGGGAAGTTGCTATTTAGTGATTGAAATGAACGGTATTTTTACCATTTTTCTCATTACGTCAATCTTGTGTGGGGGAGTTTGTAAATGTAATTTATCATTTTTTCTATTTTGGCGAAGTTTCACTTTCGTTGTTCTGTTTTCGGGCTCTCTTAATATTGCAATATGTACTTGAAGGAGATTTGGGGGCAGGAAAATATATTATCTTTTTCAGGGTGTAACGTGTGTTCTTCCCAGAACAAAGAGAAGTAGCACGCGCTAAACCCTGAAGAAGGCAATAAAATTTCCACAAGCTTGCTAATCGACTGCAATACCGTTCCAACCTGTACCTAAATAACCTTTTTTGTGCATTAGGAAATTAACAACAGGATTTATTCAATTAATCGATTTTCATTATAGAAGGTTGGGTGGAGCTCGCCCTGCCAACTTTAAACGCAGGTCTATAAATATTTAAGTACTTTCATGCCGAAATGGTTTCATATCTGTGTAATCCATCAAGGTACATTAAGGGGACTATTTATAGGAATATCATACTGTTTCATATGTAGGTCAATCGTAAAAATCCCCTAATTATAGGTAACGGTAAACGGTTGAAGTAATTGATGGTTTCGCGTTTAGAAATGATGGACAAAATCCAGATGTTACATAATCTAAAGCTTCACTCAACATAAATGAATAAATATCAATAATCAACACCCAAGTGATATTTGCATAAAAAAAGCCTGAGGATAGTCTACCTACCTAGTCAAGTTCAGTCGCTTTCTCGGCAATATTGCGCAGTTTAACGATCGCTGATCAACAATTGACGAGTCGAAAAATTGTAAAAGGAATCCAAGACTGTGTAAAACTAGCCACATATAATTTCCTTGTTTTCTTAAGGACATTTCTTTGGAAATCCCGCCCCCGCCAGTTTATTCCTGGCACTCTGATTTTCATCTCTTATTGCAAAAGTGGTTTGGCCAATACAAATAACAACGCTAACCTTGTGGCAAATTTATCGCGGCACTGTGTGTAAACAGCTTTGACATTTTAAAGCGCGTTTCTGCATACATTCTGGTCTGTATTTACAACGCCGATGTGGCTTCGACGGATTAAAAATGAAAATTGCGAAAATTGGCTGGAAAAGTGGGTATTTTGAGCTCTGCTGAATGTTCACATACTCCAAAATGTGCAAGTAAGTAGGTATCAAAAGTATTAATTATTGCAAATTAAACTTCTCAGGCTCTAAAATGTTAACTGTTTATTGTGGCATTTTTCATAAAAATAGGCCTTTTCCCATATTTGAATTTAACTGATGAAAACAGCTTCAATAAATCAAAACGTGTACCGAAACTCCAAACAAACTGCTTACTTTGGTGGTAAAATGCAAATAAATACTGCAAAACGGCCGGTTAAATCCCGACTCATTAAACAAACAAGCCGCCATATAAAGAATTATTCCCCAACTAAATTAACCGGGGAGTTTGTATATAAATATTTGGATTGTATGCACATCAATTTAATAAACATGTCGCGATTTGATAGAATGCGATACAGCGAATATGGATTACAATTTCGTTTAGTCGAAATTAATGGATTACACCAGTTCGAATTGAATAATCAGATTTGAAAAGTGAAAAATATTGAAAATCGGTCCGGAAAGTTCTGAGCTTTCGGGTGGCGAAATACATGGAAATCAGCTCAGAACTTTTTTCTGACGACCACATCAGATCCAATATCATGTGGTTTTCATATATTTCCACACGCAAAAGCCCCGAATAGTGAACGTAGGTCAATAACAAAGCCCTAAAATGTAAATTAAAGGCCAAGAAAAACCCCTTGAAAACAATGTAGTCGACGTTTCCAAGCATCAAAGTAAAACTTAATTCCTCTTTCATCCCTTTCAGTCACTCGATCTCCAACAAAGAGCTTTTTTAAATTCTGTAGTTGATTCTTTAGGTGAATATTCGGACTAATTTAAGCTGGATAACAGCCGTCCATGCTCGATTTCTTTAATGGCTCTTCTTTCAAACTGATTGATTGAGTCGCAGCGCTTTCGAGAGCTCGAAAAGCCAAAAGAAGTTCAAAATTACCTTTTCACTTTGATTCGTTTTAATTTCGTTTCGTTTACTTCGACAGTGCGCCATTAAGCTAAGCAACAAGAAAGTGTGTCATATATTGAATTAAATTTTTATTTGCATTTTATTTAAATGAGCAACAGCATTTTCGAGTTGCTGATCGAAAAATTATTTTTTGTGCCCTAAAAACCCTCATTTCAAGACTCGTTGATTATGTCCAAAAGTTAATCATCCAAGGACCTTTTTCTGGTCGAACCTGCCGAAAGACTCCCCATCAGTCTCCAGCCATAAAAAACTGCTGGAAATGGGGTGAAATTAGTCAAAATGTTCCCAGGGATACGAAAAATCTCCGAAGATAAATAAGGGATAAATGCGAAGTCTCATTAGCGAGTTTAAATTGAAATAGGTTCGGCGAACGCCCAAGAAAAACGACTCGATATACAAAGTCCCGTCCGTAAACGATCATTCTTCGAACGTACAGGTAAAGCGATGTGCTTAAGAAACCGTTAAAGATGCCTGAAAAACTGTTCTTTGCACCGAGAATACAGAAACAGTTAGAGGATGTATTTTTGAATTTTCACAGGCCTCTGACATGTTTAACAGCCAAATGCGTTCGGAAACGGTTAGAAGCAGGTTTTTCATATTTCGAGAGTTTGAGATGGTTAAGAGGCCAAAACTTGGGCACTTTGCCGGTTGTTCTGTTCTTAACCGACCTAAATCCGTTCGCTCCGCAATAATTTAGCTGCTATAGAGAATGTAATGAAAAGAAAACACAACTTCCTGGTTGTTTAAGTGCCGAGTTCGTCGGCTCAAAGCGCAAACAACTCGCACGTTGCCTTCGTATTCCCATTCCGATGCACCACAACTAACAAGTCTCTCAATGGTTAAAACGTATTAAAAATAGACACAGCAAGCGAAAAAAAGACGTGATTAACTCGTCAGTTGGACACACTTTTTTGGATTTGAGCTACGCTTTTCTGCCTACACGTCCGAGGTAATCAGTCGTGCACACTTGTGGATTTGCACGATGCTGCTGCATGATCGTGTATTTTTGGGTTTCAGTTCGGGTTTTAAGTGGGGAAATGCTCAGCTGAAATCTGGAAATTGCTTTGGGTATAAACCCCTTATGAGCCAGATGTTTGATAATTAATATCATGCATTGTCCATATCCAAATTGTTTTCGAATTCCCGCATAAAACTGCAACATTATCGACAGAAAAACATCAACAGCTCATTATTATTTGAGTAAATCCGGCATTTTATCGCGACATTTGCAGGAAAAATAGGTCGATGGGAGAGTGAAAGCCTGATAACAAGCTGGGCTGGAATTATTTACAATATTAGTTTAACAATTATCGGTAAACAGCTTGCAATATTATATTCTCTGCATATCAGAAGCTATTAGCGTAATACCCCTAAGCAGCCGATTTGGACAGAATAATGGCCCATTTCCAGGACAATTCCTAAATTTATAGTGGCGTTTCAGTAATTTTTGAGCTCAGTAAATTAAATTGTTGGAACATCTTGCGGTTTTCTCCCGACATATTCCCGCATCGCTAACAGGGAAATGAGATAAGTGAAAAATTAACTGGCCTGAAAGAATGATCGTTTACACTTTCCTGCAAACGTCCTTAATGGCGCATAATCTCGTGGATATTTTGTATTCAGCCATTATTTACTGCCGGCTTAATATTTTGGGGTTACAACTGTAAAGCGGGAGTTCATCCAGGACTACTAATGCTGCCGCTTAAAGATAACGCCGAATTATACCGACATTAATTCTGTGTCCAGATCTCGATTTTTTCTACTGTTTTGCACTAATTTTCCTTCGTTTACTTTGTACTGTAATGATGATCGTTAAGCCGCAAAAATCAAGTATTTAATGCCGAGACCGGCTGCTTTGTTATCTTCAAACTGCAATCTTTCCAACTAACCAAATGGGGGCGCGCCAAAAACGGCTATTAAAATAAAATTTTCTCAAAAGCTCATATTAAATTAGATAGAGCTTCTTGCGGACTGTTGGCACAATTTCAATTTTGATGTTTTAATGGAAAATTTTCATTTCCTCGAAACTTGGCAACTTCAGCGCTCTTCTGCTGATTAAATTGACGGAAAAGAACGCGGTTTTCTGATCGATCAACGATTCGTTTTAATCAATTTTCAAATATACTGTTGCGAGAAATTTGCAAAAACATAATTTAAAAACGATAATAAAGGATCTTAAGAGCTTTACCTATGAATACATATTCCGTGTAACTGTGACAGCCAATGGCGGAACTCAAGTATGTGGCAATGTTTTCCATTCTTGCAATTTCCTCAACATCCAGGGTTGATCTTGGCATTCAATAATCGACAGCAGAGGCTTCACTTAACTTGCAGTGTGAATTTGGTTAACTTTAGCCTAGTGGTTTATTTTTTATTCACTTAGGAAACTTGCAAAGGTTTGTACCGTTTCTCCGTTTTTGTTCCCACTTTTATAATTGCTTATTTGGGGTTAAATTGCTTATATGCTATACTGGGGATGCAAGCTTCAACAATCGAAAGAAGAACCTTCTCTTAAATGCCAGGGTGAATTTGCATTCATTCAGCCAAATGGTTTATTTTTTATTAATTTAGGGATCTTCCGAAGGCTTGCGTCGTTGGTCCACTTTTGCCTCGTCTTCCTTTATTGCTCATTTCTGAACCCGGGTGTGCATTTGGATGCGGTCTTCAACAAGGGAAGGAAGAATCTTCACTTAAGTCACAGTGTGAATTTGGTCTTGTTCAGCCAAATGAGTTATTTTTTATGAATTTAGTAATGTTTCGAATAATTAAGTCGTTTGCCCGCTTTTACCCCGTCATTATTTATTGCTCATTTCTTAACACCCAGGGTAGACATGAGAATGCTGGCTTCAACAGTCGAAAAACAAACCTTCACTTAACTTGCAGGGTAAATTTGGGTCCCTTAAGCCTAGTGGTTATTTTTTATGTATTTAGGAAACTTGCGAAGGTTTGCACTGTTTGTCCGTTTTTGTCCCCTCTTTTATAATTGCTTATTTCGGAACATCCAGAGCAGGCCTGGGGATGCAGGCTTCAACAATCGAAAGAACCTTAAAAGCTTAAATCCCAGTGTGAATTTCGATTCATTCAGCCAAATGGTTTATTTTTGGTTGATTGGCGCGGTTGGCACCTTGTTGCCCCGTCTTTCTTTATTGCTCATTCTTGAACATCCCGGGTAGACATGGGGATGGAAAGGAAAGGCTTAACGTAACATTCATTGCAAATTTTAGTTTATTTCGGCCTAGTGGTTGGGCAAATAATCATACAGAGTCCCCATTTACCACTTACTTCTTTTGTCGTGCGCCACGAGTCTATCGATTTTTTTACATTCCTTGTTGTCTTCTATTTTGCCGAGTTAGAGCGGAAAAACCAAAGAAAAAATTATGCGTTTACGGACATAATTTGTTGTGAAATTTTCTACTATTTGATGCCGAACATGCCAGAAAAATAGAGCCCTCCTGTATATGCAGATGAAAATGTTGATTTTTATTACATAGTTGATATCAAAACAAGTTTCTGCACTTGAATGCATTTCTATGAGTAAAGCAAAGGTTTACTGTGCAAATCTATTCATATGATGTGGAAATTATATCTGAACAGTCACATGCATAATTTTTTGCTTTTTGTTCTTCAACAATGCAAAAAAGTACTGCATGGTAAAACTGATTCTACATTAACGCCCGGCTATTTTTAACATTCTCCACAAGGATGTGGATCTAGCAACTTTATCACCGTTAAACAATTGCGACAAAATACTTGAACATCGGACTTTGGACTACCTGTAGAAATTGGACTTTGGACCGGCGTGAAACGTGCTTCAGACGGATCATGCACCAGCCCATTCCTTATACCAAGTTTGGAGGTATTTTTGAAAATTTCGAAAATGTTCTTCAGCCTGGATGAGAGCAGGCAACAACTAGTAGGCTTTGTTTAGGGTAGCTACCCCTGTCAGGCAATTGTTTTTCTAGAATTTCTTCCACTCCTGCCCCTGTCAGCACGAGAAAGCCACATTTTCTCCAATTTTTATATTTGAATCTAATTTGATCATTGGCTGAATGAGGCTTGTGCTAACAAAACCTGCTGTACAGTGAACTAACAGAACACAGCAAAAGACAATGCGGCGACTGACATCAAACAAAATCAAATCAGTCACAAGCTCTAATTGTTTTTTTTTAGCTTACCTTCTCTAGGCATTCTTGTCCAATGGACTTGAGATCAACCCTAACTTCAAGCACCACAGAGTTGGCTTGGCTGATAAGACACCACATTTTGTCGGGTTTTTCAGTCAATGTCGATGTGAAAACGCGGTGAAAGAGGCGAGTCTAAGTCAGAAAAAGTCTGTATTCCGGTTAGAACTGGGGAGATTTTCGAAAAAATCGGCGACAAATCGAAATTTTCAGCGCGCAAAACACTTCCATACTATGCGACGGATCGCGAGGTTTTGATCGAGCGAGCCAAAGTGATCGTGAGCTAGTGTTTTGTTTCGCGCGACCAGCGTTGCCAAGTAATACCGGAAATACTTCGATAGGCCACAACAGACAAACTGTCGCGCCAAGGAGTTTCTGGCGAAATTCACCAGAAAAAGTGCTTTTGGATGAACCTGCACGCGTTAAAAAAATGTGCACATGCCAGACGGTTAATGAGCAACTTTCCTCAAACTCACTCACTCACTCAACTGGACCGGAGAAAAATGTCGGAGTACGGGCCAAGAAAATTGGGCCTATAGTGGCAACAGTGGCTCTGGATCAAAAGACCTACGTCCCAACTCACTCCCAATCGGTTCATCCATGAGAAGAAGCGACTGGATGGCTTCTGGCAACTCCCGCCTCTCACGTTTTATATTTGCCTATAAACCGAGTGTTGCGCTTTCCAAACGGCGACTCAAGGGGAAGTGTTTTCGAATTTTGCAACCCTTTGTCTTGTTGCGGGGTAAATATTCCCCTTTGTCGGGTCGCAGACGGTCACATTTCGAGCAGACATCTTTTGTCTATCGTATGTATGTTATTCTTCTTCGTCGATGTATAAATTCTATTACGATCCCAACATAAGGGATTTGGATAAAAACCCCTATGTCGGTATTACTCTACCCAATGTTCGATTTATTGGCCAGTAAATTGGGCCAATTATTTAGGGTCACCAAGCATCAACGTAAGCGTAGTCCTGCGATCGATCAATCGTACGATTTATTGCGGATTGCCCAAATTTTTGGGGTAATTTTTGGGGTTATTTCTTGTTTGCTAACTGTGCAATGATGAATACAGTGCTCTTTGAGTCTTTTGAGTGTCGATTTACTCATTTTTTTATTTGTGACATTTTTTAAAATTTGAACTGGTTTTAAAAAGTTTTTCAATCCGATTGAGGCCCAGTTTGAAGGCTGTTTTTGCGGTTATTCAACAGAGGAATTTTTGCTCTTTGACTTTTTTGAGTCTCAATTTATTCAATGTTTTTCTTCATTTGCGACAATTTTTTGAATTTGAACTGGTTTTTCAAAAGTTCTTCAATCCAATTGAGGATCAATTTTGACGATGTTTGAAGGCTGCTTTTGCGATCATTTAATAAAGGAATTTTTGCTGTATGAGTCCTCTGAGTGTTGATTTTAGAAGTTTTCGTCGATTTTTGGCTATTTTTTCAAAAATTCTTCAATTCGATTGAGGATCAGTTTGAATACTGCTTTTGCTGTTATTTAATAGATACATTTTTGCTCTACCATTTCTTTGAGTGTAGATTTACTCAATGTTTTCCCCGATTTTTGACAATTTTTTTAAATTAAGTTTCGTAAAACGTCTCGTGAAACAAAATGAAACAATATAAACGTTTTCCAAAACACATTTATTACATCCGTTTGAAATCAAACGTGTACATACTTAAACAGTAATACACAATTTAACGAAATAACAAAAACACTGAAAAACAAATGCGTGAAAATAGTCAAATAAACAACAATTTGAACAATATAGCACACAGTGCTTTTTTCGGGTATTTGAAAAAGTCGCATTTTAATGCGAAAAATTTTAGTTATTTTAACCTCAAAACGCCTGTAAAATCCCGAAACTAAATTTGGAAGCATCTTGTACATTAATAAGTGAAAATACTAGTGATGGGAACTATCGAATCCAATGTCTAATCTAAACTATGGAATTATTCGAAGGTTGCAATTTTTTCGAATAATTCGATAGTGATGTTTCATTCAGTGATGGGAACTATCGAATTATTTGATAGCAGTGTATTATTCATTTGTTTTCTAATTTTCGGGATAATAGGATAGCTATAATTTGGTTGAAATGAACGAATTAAAATTAAAAAAAAATAAATTTCTGTTTTTTTTCAGACATTCAAAATTAATATTTAAAAAATTTGGTTTTTTTAAATTAATTTATTAAAAACGTGCTATATTTTCATTATGAATCAGTACTCCAGTCATAGTATTAAATATTTGCAGTTTTAACTATTTTATTTCAAGAAAAACAGTAAATACAAACAATACAAAAATTAAATTTATAATTGATGTTTAATTTAAATAAAACGAAAATATGTATATATTTAAAAGTCAAACATTGCAATATTATTATTCAAAAATATTATTGTCTAAATTTTTCGAATCGTCGGTTCCTACGATTATTCGATTTTCAAAAGATTATAATTTGTAACTTTTCTATACTTCAATAAATAAATTCATCGTATGAATTTGATAGTTGCAATTATTCATTTTGTAATTATTGGATAGTGCCCATCATAGTTCGATTGTCCAAATCATTCGATAATGCCCATCACTATTCGATAGTGCCCATCGCTAGAAAATACCCCGCCACAATGCAGCAACCAGCAAAACAGTATGGCGCATTTAGTTGCCTATACATGAATGAGGTGTTTTATTAATGTTTAGGGGATATTGGGATTTCAGTTCGTTGTGTTGGTATTTACGGACTGGCGCATTGCATTGTTGGAAATGAATTAAAGATGGCTGTTCGCGATGACCAAGTATGATCAGCGACGGTCAGAAATAATGTTTTCCCTTTAATTTTCCATTTTCTTCGGTTTTTCACGCGTAGAACTGATTTCAGGTCTAAACGAAACGGGCGCGTGGTATTTTCGGGCGGTTTCTGCTTCGTTAATAGGTCTCAAAGTGCAATGTTAGTTCTTAGTGTCTTGTACATAGGAGTACGATTTTACTAGTTATGTATGTATTTTGATAAAAGTGCTAAGTGGAAGCGGGTGGTTTGAGTGGCACCAGGAGGGAGGAAGCCGGAGGAACGTAAGTACCTAAACTATCCATGGAATTTGTTGTTTTAACACGCCTTATCACGAATCCTTTCCCAACTGCGTGTCGTCTATGGCGCACTCTGGTTATTTCGAAATAAAAACTGAAAATTTCGCTGTTAACCAAGTCGGGTAGTCTAAATGGGGACGTTTCGCAATCAGGCCATCATTAACCTTGCCACCTTTTCGTTTAATTAGCCAGTTTTTCGGTCCTAATTTAGTGTACCCGCATTGCCGGCGTTGAATCCTGAAAACAGCTGTTCGCCTTTTACATCTAGACGACGATCGTATCCTGTTCCTTTAGCAAAACCATACAGAACCCTACAGTTTAGTGGCGTCAATTAACTTAACAAAAAAGGCTGGTTATCAGCCCTGGAGTTGTCTTAAGCACTGCTACTAGTAGGCAACTGGGTCAGGAACGATTTTCGACTTGTAGGTACTATGCGAAAAGAGGAAACACCATTAGAAGGTGATTGAAGAAGCCCTTTACACAATTGTTACTTCGAAACAGTTGACCCTAATAAGACCATTCCCAGTTGGTGATAGGTATTTGATTACACTTGACTACCACTTGTTGACGAATTGCTCTTACCTATTTTATCAGCAGGTTATTTTTAATATGGTTGCAAATTCCCACTTAATTAACGTGTTTACTTCATTTTTCATCCAGCGTGAACATTTTTTTTAAATTCTCGTCCACTTCTTTAAGGGTTTTCTCCGGTTGCTTCAACATTGGCATATATCCTTTTAAGGGGTTACTGGGACATGTCAACATAACAGCGTATTTGTGGTTAGATTTTTCAATATGCTCTTCAAAACTCAAAAGTAATGCCTGAAGTTTACGTTCTTGGTGGAGTAAACTAGATGTGGAAACCAATGGGAAGAAGGGGACAGTATGTATCACCCAGTATGTAAGGGTTTCGGTCAGCGAAAAAAAAACATATTCTAGTAAAAAATGTTACTAGAAAGGAGTCTCCACCGATGGTTTCTTCTCCTTAATCAATTAATTCCCATGAGTCTGTTCTCTTAGGTATTTCCCCGCGCCCTAACAGCCGAGACCAGTTGTTTATCTCCATTTGGTGGCAATAAGGCAACTTTCTTTTGCTGGGATAAATTATTGATAAGACTCTTGATAATTTACCTACCTGGTGTAATCATTTCCGACCAATACAACCAAGCAAAGGTCAACATTCGTCCTATTAATATCTAGAGTTTTGTTTGTACTAGGCCGCCTTAAATCAACTTATAATAATGTTATATGTACTTAGTTGCTCTGTTCAACATGACGCGTCTAACTATTTTGGTAAGGAAAAGTTCAAACACATTCGTATTAAATGAGAATCTTAATATCAATTAGATTGGAGATAGGCAACTTTGTTCGCTATCAGTGCTATTTTTAGTTAGATATTTCACTGATTTAAGTACCTCTACTGACCAAACGCGTTTGATTAATTCATTTGATTGATCTTCTTCAAGGTTGTAGGCGCATCAATTTGTACTAAAAAATTGAGGATCGTTCAAATTGAATATTTGGAACGCAGCACTTACCTACCTAAGGTGACTGTTGCTATATTTTCAAAGTTTCCCCGTGTTTATGAGACTTATAGTTTGGATTAAGGATGTTGTGTTGTTGGCAAAGAGCACAGGTTAAGCTGGTTGAAAATTCGGAAAGCAGCAGTTAGATCGATAGCATTGATAAATGCAAAATTTCGAGCTTTCAAATTGCTTTTAATGTAAAAAGTGTGTTTTAATACTGAAAACTGTTTCGTAAAAACCAGCAGGCAGCTGTAAAGTTTATGTGTGGATTCTTCGGGGCATTAGCGATATCCGCAAGTAATTTTTGATGGCATCACCTGTTAAAGTTGCAATTGGTTCACACTTAAATGTTGATTGAAAGCAACACTGTTGGATGTTGAACGATAATTTAGTAGGTTGGAAATTGTAAATTTAGATAGTACTATTTTTATACAGGAGCATTTTTGTTTACAAATTTATGGAAATATTATTTATGGGCCAGTGGCAAGTGGTAAAGATCGAGGTCTCCGGCCTTAAAGGTTATCAGTTGCCATTTTAATACAAACAAATTGATTTGTACATAATACCGATATCTGGTTGGAAAATTTCGCTTTCATTCTGTCTTTCAGGCGGCCTCCGGAGGTGCCTTTCGAAAGCCAGCACTTTCTTTATTCACATTTCAATCTTGAACTTTGAGAGATCATGCGGTGGGCTTAAATCGATTTTAATCTTTTTGTGTACTTACATATAATGGGAAATTTCCGAGACTCGGAACATTAAGGGATTTGCTCAGACTGTTGTTTTGTTGACGTTGTTCATTGTTCCTTGGAGGTCTAGGTTTACAATGTTGGACGGTACTAATGCGAGTATTTAAAGTTTCAGAATGCAAATATTGCGGTATTTATGTAGGTATTAAGGTGTTTCGATTTTAAGGCTCTTTAGGGTTTTTCATGAAGCTATTTTTTTCGTAACGATCCGATCAATTTGTATATCGGGAATGCAGCAATTTATTAATTACAAACGGAGCGAAAGCAAAAAGGCAGAGAACGTCAGCACAATTGCACTAAATTTTTTGCCTGGGAGGGCACTAGTAACTTCTTATGATCTGAAGTATTATATGCAATTTTTTTCTTATTTGTTCCAGACTGTAAAATGCAGACTATGGAGAAACCTCCTCATCAATTAACGACACAAACGAAGCAAAGAGAGTCACCGATGACCATTCAAAATGTGGAAACGGCCGCACCTAGTGGAGTGAAATCGGCGGAGCCTCCGCCTTTGGAGATCTGCTTTGTTTGTGGCAACAGGGGCCACCCCAGGTCGTACCCTCTGAGCTCCAAACCTAGATCGGACCGATCGACTCGCGATCCGTACTTTCCATTTTTGGATAGTCACGAGCCTCCTAAAGGCTATCCAAAATTCTGGGGTAAGTTGGAAGACCATCTTAATGTGTACTACTAGAGAAAAAAATCAAATTCAACCCTCTGAAGCGATGCGGTTTAGGTAATTTTTGTCATGCAGGGACATTATTCTAACATGCTCTTTAACTCTGTATGGTAAAATGCTGATGGTTCGGGCAAACATCTTATAAGGCTTTTTTTTCCAGGTAAATCGGACCCGTCCATCTACGCGGCTTGTAGCCTGTGCTATCAACTGCTCATGCAACAATGGGACCAATATGAACAGACAGCCAAGCCTCATTCGGAGCGGCTCTATTGGCTGAAACGGGTGGATAATGGCCCTTATACAGGCGCGGATATGAACATGCAGGGAGAGTACGCGGCTCAAATGCTCGGATTGAATACGGAAGGGGGCATTGTTCCGGTTGCCTCCCAAACCTCCAAGACTGTCGGCCGCGAAGACTCCACTAGGATCCGAGTGTCTCCTAGACCAGTTTCAGCTCCGGTAAGCCTGTTTCTATATAAGTTTATGCTCGCGCTCAAAATGCCTCCGTTTTGTCGAAGAAAGCGTGAAATGTAAGTACCGGCGACCGTTCAAATGTGCGATAATGTTTTACATCGATTTTCGAAAAACAGCATGTTCTGACGGTTGAAGTCTAAAAATATGAAAAGTGGCGTATAAATAGAACCCTAAACAAGTCACTTAGTCAGAACGGTTGGAAATAAAAAAGCTAGCAGAGTTGCTTTCATCGGTTAGCTTTAGGTGAGTTCAGTTACTCGTTCATTGTAATATCGTTGCGCGATTGAAGTTACTGAGACGCACTTTCATTTATCTTAACCGAGTAGCGTAAGCGACCGCCTGACACGATCGAGACTAGTTTTCAACGACGTGTCAAGCAAAAGGGAAGCGTTAGGCGATAGCTAAAAGGAAACGCGATTTCTCTATCTTTTATTGGGAATACGCACTCTTGGTGGACTTGCTGACGTCACTCAGTCGTACGGTACTGCGATCAGGTACGCATTGTCATGTTGCCAAGATGGGCAGGAAAATCCCTAAAGTTGGTCCTTTCCTTTTAACTCACGATAGGTACTTTGGAAAAATTCAATTGCGTCATGTAATACTTAGATGGATTGAAAAGAAATCAAGCAATAACGTTCAAGGCTGTGGATCTAGTGGATTTTTCCATTAACACAAAACCTGTTTTGGAATTGCATTCAGTTATACAAAAATGCTTATATTCGCGCAAAAGCCGTGTTTTTCTATCAAATCATCAAGGGAAACCGGTGAAATTGGGTAGGCAGCATCTTCATCTTACTACCTTGGGGCTTTTTGAATTTGCGAACGCATCGATTTGTTTTAGTTCCTTAAAAGTGTCACACCTCTTTCTACTATCACGGTGAAACAGTGTTAAAATGCCGAGCTCAAGGAAACGTTCAGCAACGATAAAATTGTGCGTTTTGAAACGGTTTTTCGGGCGCTTTTCGCTAACGAAGTCGTCTAAACCGCGTAGGAGAGAGTAGGTCATGTGTAGAAGATCTCGCAATATTTTGGGGGTGTGTCGTTTGTGCAGTTATCGGCGGATTTTCGTGTGAGTAAAAACAGGTTTCATGTGATGGCACCGAAAACAGCCAGGATTACCATGCTACCGATAAGCGGCGTAAGTTAGCGATAGTTTTAATTGCACACTCGGTTTCAAACCACTTGTCCGCTAATTGAAACTAAAAAAAGTGTAGGTAGCTGTTTTCGATTGACTATATCGAGACCAGTCAAAACATCGGTAGTTATTTCAGGCAAAACACCTTGTCGAATTTGCAATTGAAATTCCCATTCGCTGAATAGTTGCGGCAAGTGTTAAGGTGAGTACGCAATAGACACTTGGGTACCAATAGTGGATTTGAGGTGTTGAAAAAATGACTCCAGGAGAGGCATTTCGTTGATTGCTTTGATTGATGCGGTTCTAGCAGACGCGTGGTTTGAAGTTCAATTTAATATTTGGAATTAGAATTGTTAACTATTCAGTGATTCATCGATTAAGCCACTAGGACGAGGGGCAGAATCGTAAGCAGTTGTTTATTATACAATTGCGATAAAATAATAAAAGAGTCGGATTGTATTAGCTGGAAGTTCAAATGTGTGCCTTTATTAGAGTATTTAAGCTTAACGATTAATCACACGATTACTTTTTAAAGTTACGGCAATGTTGGCTTCGCAGTGGATAACAAGCACAAAAATGGTGAAAAAAACACGTTTCCGATTAGTGAATAAATTTTTTAAACGTTTGCATAATCAAGAAAATGTGGGGTTTTACTATAAATAAGCCATCACTTATCCAGACCCTGTTTATAAACAATGATAAACCGAATGTTGCAAAACAGCATGGAATATAACTGGGACCGGTCGACTGAGTTAATGGTCCGGCACAACCTTTAATCTTGGGGCTCGATAAAAAGCCCATACACGGTATTAAATAAACAAATTCTCTAAATGGCATGTCAAAAGTGTAGCAGGAAACATCCAGTTAGAGCCGGTGAATGGTTTTGTTGACTGTTGACTGATAACGAGCAATAAAAGTGATGCATCTCATGCGAATAGCGCAGACTTTCCTATTAGAGTTTTTGTATTTTTGCCCGAGAAAGCCTCAATTGCCTTCAAAAACTACCGTTTTTCTTTCAGGTTGCGTCGACCGGATTGGATCGAGACGAAATGGTACCAGAAGGCGCGTTGGATCTCACTCATTCATCGCAACAGTCTGTATCAGCACCAGTGCAATCCGTCTCAGTCCCACCCATATTGTACAACCAGAACTCAAACTCCTCAACTGGTACCGACATTTTGGATCTTAGCATGCCAGATAAAAACTCAGTAACGGAGGTGAGTAAGCAAATGGTCAATTCAATATTTGCGAATAAACCTTCCGTATCTTATTCAGGTCTGTTACGTTTGTGGCGATGAATTCAAGCGAGGAAGTCTCGATTTTATCGCCTCCAAACAAGTAGCCGACTCTGCTATGCAGCCATTTTTTCCCAGTCTGATCGAGCATCCAAGGCCGAGCAGAAGTCGACCCATTGACTCTTTGGGCCGAGTCCAGGCCTGTGTGGATTGTCAGCAACATTTGCTGAAGCAGTGGATCACGTTTCAGGGCCAGGGTGAGTCAAAATAACTGAAATTGATCTTAGCTGGGTCATTTTTGCATTATAGTAAGCCAGAAAATCAGTGCAGTGAAACCCCTGTTTGGCCTCTTGCCTTCTGTATCCCAATGTTTTGAATCAGAAAACACGAGAAAAAGTTATTTTTCAACACTATATTGTTCTGGACTAAAGCACCGAGATGTGCACCTATGCATTCAACAAAATTGTAACACTTCGATCAGGAGAGCGTTGAAAACTGCCAAAATCTGGATTTTTCGTCTCATTATCAAGTAAGAAAAGAGCGCAATCAATCGGTCATCAGTCATCATCAATGTCACATGTTTAGCAATGATATAATTCAATCAACTTGTGGACTCATTCTTCACTACATATTGCTTACTTTTGGCCAACAAATGGCATAAGTAGGATTTTAATTGATTTGTACAGATTCTATGAGAGCGGCACGCACAAGGCTCTGCATTGCTGCGTTCCAACTTTTTACCTTTGCCGTTCGAACAAATGTTTAATTACAATGCAATATCAAAACAACAATTGTCCATGGCATTCTTCCCTAAACGAAGTCTGCATGAACTTGAAATCATGTTCTCATATTTATTAAAAACCCTTATTTACCCCAATAATTTAATTATCTGGCCAGTTATTCGGCTCGTTAGATAAGTCCACTCTTTCCAAGTGATGTAGCGTTGGTTTACGTAATTGCAATGCGGACGACACAACTACATAATGCTACTGAACTGGATATGTCCGGATTTCTTTATCCTTATCACGGATCGCCGTAATTAACGTTCTCTAATCAACATTGTGTACTTTCTCGAGAGACATGTTGGTCGATAGCTTGACTATTTATTTTACTTCATTTACTTGTTATTTTTTCTCGAAATGAACTTGAATGTTTAGTGTCAGCGCTGATTTTTCACGAAGTAAGCAATGATCTTTGCAGATCTTCAAAGTGCAGAAACCGGAAAACTCACACTGTAACTGGATTCCTCCAAGTAATATGATGCTGACAATGTTTTCTTCCCCAGGTGTTCCACACATAGAGCGTAAATACACTCTACGAAAACGGCAAGGAGCTGCCCTAGATGCAACCACCTTCATATGTTACACTTGTACCTTAGAGTACCCTTCTTCTAGCATCAGACTGTTGTATAGTTGCCCGAATAACGAGAAGGTAAATCCCGCTGCAAGCCCGGATCCTTTTGTTGATTAATATATTTTTTTAAATTCCAGGAACCATATTTTCCATTTATCCAGACTCTGAAAGCCCCACTTGGAGCCAGTCCGGTTTCTCCTCAAGGGATGGTCCAAGTGTGTTCGATATGTTACAAGAGCATTCCGCAAAAGCATCAGGTAAATAACGGAGCTTTATTATATTTAGTTGTTAATTGTACATGGGGGATAAATTCTCTAGTTTCCTGTTGTTTTTTTTAAGGTTTTTGGTGCAGATCCTTCGACTCAAAATTCTCAGCTGACAACAAACAGCAATCACGTGAGCATGACGGAAGTTCACTATGTGAATACGACTTCGTCCCGACCCAGCACTGTTAAAAGTCCCGCAAATTCTGCCGGTTCGGATATTCGGTACAAACCGTATGACATTAATCAAGCCTCCATCGTCACAACGAAGAAACGAGCTGCACTAGCTGATAGCAAAAGTTCAAAGGTAGGCTCAGGTGGCACAACCCGATATAAAGTTCAATTATCCCACTCAGTGTGTCCGTTTGCTGAATTCAGCACGGTGAAACGTGATTTTCTTGGCGCATGTTTTGGGCGTTTGGTTTGTTCGATACCACTAATCTAAGCAACTGTATGTGTTTAAATGGATTTAGTTCCAAAATTTCGACATATCATCGGGCTCTTTGACCTGCATCTTTTTTCCCAGTTGCACAGATAATTGTTAATGCGTGTTTTCGGTTAGTGTTGAGACGAGACATCGCGAAAGCCGCATTTATTTTAACAATTTGCGTTCAACATCGTACCATCAGACTTATTTTAGATGTGCTGAGAGACGCTGTGGAGTTGAACTTTTAATATTATTATTATTATTGATATTTTCATTTGACAAATTATGACTAAAGTTCGACGAATAATGGTCAAGGTAAGGCAATAGCAGCAATTCATTGTCTGGGTCGATTGATCGTGGTTTGTGGGCTGGAACTGATTGTTTTACTTAACAGAGGTTATAGGAAACGCTCGCATCTCATTCTAAAATGGCATTTTTGTTTGTTCTACAATATCTTTTGGAACTGAAGCCCGTTTAAGACACTTCAAATGCTACTTTGTGTTTACTGTATTTGCATTACTCCTAGTTACTATGCATTCATTATTGTTGAAATCATCTACTCGCAAATCACGTTGATGCAATGTTATTTGATTATTTGCCACATTTTTCAGTCTTTATTGTATCACGCTTGCATTTCGTGTTGGGTTATTTTCCCCGCATTTCGTCAAAGCAGTTCCTTTCTTTATACCTGTTGCTATCAGATTCATTTGAAAACTTTACTTTTTCGGTTTTTGATCACTTAGCAAAAGCACATGTGCCAGATGGATCAGTGCTAATGTAAGCGATAAACAATATACTTGTTTGATATTTTTCCTTTCCTGTGTTTCAGTCAAAATGAACTAGCGATATGAACATTTTTATTTCACAATTAATGTTCACAAGTAATGTTTTCAAATGAATCTGATAGTAACAGGAAAGAAAAAAATATAATAACAATAATTACACGCAGTCAGGATAWTAAATCAAAATACTTGTTTGAGTTGGAATTTAGTAACGGAATKTAAATCGRAAAAAAAAACAAGTGTTTTAAAATTGCCGATGATTTTTTTAGGCCTGCAGCGGTATAAATTAAGAACGAGAAAAAAACCGCGTTTGTTCAAATTTCGTTATCAAATTCGAACTCCACCATTGCGAAGCCGAATAACTTCCACAGCGTTAAAGCCAAMAGCTGGTAAACAGCCAAAATAAAATATACGATGTTTTCAAATGAAACAGCTGATTTTCGAATACTGTAATTAAGGAAAATTATGSTATAAAGTTATAGTCTGTGCGTTTTGAGTAGCGAAATCGGTGACGTCGAATATCAAAGATCAATTCGTTAATAATCCGCACTTCGTTGTAAACATTCAGTGGCCTTATTGATTACAGCATCGACCCGTTCTAGTTTTCCTTGCGCCTCAGCGCGCTCTGTTTTACTTAAATCTAGGTTAGTGAAGGTAAAGCAACCCGAAATTTTCGATTTTCAGGCGGCGTTGGCTGCCAGGACCACTTCACCCTTGGTGGACATCAATGGACATTCGGGGTCGCAAAGTTACCGCTGCTATATTTGCGCAGGCCTCTATACTTTAGATCAGATGGAATGGATCAGTACTTCGGCGGAGGGCATGAACTCGCATGCTATGCACTTTCCTTGCCTGTCGAAGGTTTGCGTATGTTTTACGGTCATTCCGGAATGCTTCAATTGATGCCAATTGAATTTCCAGATCGGACGAACGTTGGAGAACAGTTGCATGGATTCGCATGGACGGGTTCTGAGCTGTACGAGATGCGTGAACCATTTGGCGCAGCAATGGGAGACTTTCGAAACCGATCGGGTGCCTTTAGAGCGGCGAAGGTAAATTCCCATTGTTGCTGCGTGCGAATGTTGAGAATCAAATGCTGTTGATCTTCAGATATGATGTACCTTTGCCAGATACGACGCTGATGAACGGTGATCGAGGCATCCCCACACCCCCCAGCACGAACAGTGATAGAACGGTTTGCAGCCAACCATCCTCAGGTGGCAGCAGCATATACTGTTTTCTGTGTGGTTTGCATTCGGAATTCACCCTCGCTCGAGTGGTGTACAGTAAACCTCAAGGTGTGTAAACAAAACGAAAGCAACGACTTTTTCTGTCCGTTTTCGCTTCGAGGTGGTTCAATTTGTCATCTAGATATTTTATTGTAGGTAGAAATGCGCCCTATTTTCCGGTCCTGCTGCGCCACAAAAGTCCGCCCAGCGCTGAGCAGCTTAGAGACGATGGCAGTGCGCTGGTTTGTACGTTCTGTTACCATAGCTTAGTTCATCAGTGGCGTAGGTACGAGTCTCAAGGCAATCGAGTACCGCCCGCAGACGCTCGCGAATACAACACTCACGACTACTGCTGTTATGTCTGCGGAATTACCACTTACCGGAAACGAGTGCGCGCGTTACTTATTAAGGTAAGATTGATGGGTGGCAGCGAAATTGCAGAACAAATTTTCCTGATTCTTTGCAGGATTTTCCGTTTTTGAGATTCCACCCGCAGCCTGACAACTCACTGCTGTTGGAAAACGGCGACTATTCAGTTGTATGTTTGGACTGCTACGAGACGCTGAGAACCCAGTCATTGGAATATGAAAGGTGCCTGAGATAATCGGCTGAGTAACACCAATCGAAACTTGTTATTGGGTCACTTTTTTAGATGGGGCTTACCTTTAGACAAGCGGCAATATAATTGGATAACACAACCCCCGCCCCCAGAGGATAGTCCCGAGGCCGGCATTGCCCGTTTACCGAGCGGACAACGAAGTGATAAAGTAGTAAGTCGCACTTTTTTACTGCGTTGGCGGCTCAACTTGGGTTTTTGGCTTGGTTTCACAGGCACCCCCAACGTTCCTAGCCAAACCCACCAGAAAGAACCATTCACCAAAAATTATGGAGAGAAAGATGAATTCAAAGACTGAACAAAACTCAGGTAAGTCATGCAAATATTTTCGATGAGTTGAAAAGTGTAAATTAAATGTTATAATTTTATATTTTATGAATGACGATACAGTGAAAAAATTTAACTGTTATGAAATGCTCGTATGTTTTAAGCGAGAACTTTCTATTGAGATACAAAAATACATTAACTCGGAATAATCGCTTTGAAAATGTTTTGGTTTAAACTCGTACAGTTTGAACGCGAACGTAAAAGTTCGGCTAAATAGTGAAATTAGCCGGATGTTGACGTCCCCAAGCCTGGCTATTTATTCGGTTCTCTCCCATTCCCTCAACGCCGCATGGAGTTCGCTCCACTATGGAAATGAAGTCTTTTAGAACGAACACCCGTCAATAAGCGCATCCCGGACCCGTGACCGCATTTTGCGCCGTCATACGCCCCATACCGATCTTTTTGTTACGAGAATCAGTCGACAGTGTCGGTGTTTTATCCCGGTTCTCCACGTTTGTTCCGGCAATTTTTGCGAAAAATTACTGTTGCATCAGTGTGCGATCATTATTCGAATTAACAGTAAACAGTGCGTTGATTTGCGGAATTGATCACTGCAAAGGGGGTTTATTGCATTTTAATTAATAGTTTTTAATTATTTATCGACCGGTCGTCTGGGCAGTAGGCACTAGCTAAGGGTGTAAAAGGCAAGAATAGACATTTTCCTGTTAAATAAGAATATCACTGTGGTTAAAAGCCAGAATAATTGGCAAGTGGATTGAAAAGAGCCGTGCGGAGTGTAGTGCGAGAGAGAGAAGGCCCGGAATATGGATTTCAAACTCGACTTGAAGTATCCCTATTGCAGCCCCTATTCTTATCCCTACTATTATGGGGTGGAAGGTAATAAAAAGTGGCTTTTACATTCCCGAGTCGATAAAAACGCCGAGGCAGTTTTCCCCCATTTTCTTATGTACCGAGTGGGTATATTATACAGGGTGTCGTGTCCTAATTGACGAGACAAATTTCAAGGGCGTATTCCTCAGTCGGTTTTATGAGCGAAAGTTAATATGAACATGGGGTTAAAAATGCTTCGATTACGCTCTACAGGGTGTCAGAAGATTTTATGGTTTTGAAGCGGGGGCTCATTTTCCACAATTATTTTGTAGGTTTTGACTTTATTTTGCTGTTGTCACCGTTTAATGGCACACTCGTTTTTATGCGCTCCTTGTTTATTTCATCAAAAGAACTTTATAAGGTCAATTTGTGATTAATCTGAGGCAGGTATGGAAAAATCACAACATGTTACTTACACCCTGTATACATGTAATGGTGTTCGATATACAGGGTGTCCCGGGAGCTCATGTGCGACATTTTTTGGTTCAACAGAGGATGATTTGACCCAACTTTTTTTGAGAAAAAATGTCCGACTCCTGTACTGAAGATTGATGGCCAAATTTCTCCAAAAAATTATTTTTTTTTGCGAGATCAGAGTTAATACTAACATATATTTCTTGTCTCAATGAGTTTCGCCTTCTCGTAGTGACTGAAAGATAAATTGCCCGACTGACCTCAGACAGAGGAGGGTGTGACGAGGGTCGACAGTTCACAACCCTTAAGTCCAAGCCACTCCAGAAACGTCGCGTTTTAATCAACTTATTAGATTTGGCGACTTTGAAAGAGTACTGCCGATTTAACCTATTTTGTCTAATGCCAAAGGGGGGAGAGTTTGCGGTGTTTATTTGATCCCCGTAGTGGCTATTTGACTTTTCTTTGTTTAAATTCTTGAAAACTGAAATACTCAAGAGACTTATGCCGGCATAGAATACTGCACTGCAAGTAAGAGATATTTTTCCATTAAAGGAGTACCTAACAGCCCAAACAAACTACCTCCCACCGTTCCGAGTGCGACCAATGGCAGCATAGCAAATGTGCCAGTGAGCGGCGCTTGCTCTGGAATGACCAATCCGAAACCGCGCTCATCCACCACTGGCCATACTGTGCCAGGACCTGGCCCTGGTTCCTCCAACAGCCAATACAGCCATTCGTTTGCTGCCGCCCTGCGGAACCTCGCCCAACAGAACGTACCTGGCGCCGAATCTGTTGCGGAACCGCCGGCTGCTCACAGATCGAGGGAGAGTGGTGAGTGCCGATGAAATTGATGTTTGTACTCATTGAAAATGAGCTTTTTATCCCAACTCAATGTTTTTACATGCCTGGGTTTAGTTGTGCAGTAATTATGCATGCATAGACCGGAAAGGTCTGCATGGCAATGAAAGGGCAGAAAGACCAATTGTTATTAATAATGTCCATCCATTGTCTTTGATTAGCGCCCCATACACGCGCAGATTATCCGTACAGTTCAGATACGTAGAGATTTGATTCGACAGATCCAGATCGGACGAATTAAACCTTTTCCTGTCCACTAATTAACATACCAAGCACGAGTGCCGATTCTTCCAGTGGCATTGGAGGTATCAGATCTGTCCGTTAGTGGAGTGAAATCTTACGTTTCAGACAGACTTGATCTGGCGCGTGGTATTTCAAGTGAAATAAAAGATCTGGTCGTGGCAGAGGCAGATTAGTTAAACTAAGTGTTTAAAATGCGAAGCAAGAAACGGATAGCTATTGCTTGTGCTGGCGTCATAGTGGTTTCAGAAAATCTACGCAAAAAAAGTGAGAAGAAAGTGGGTAGACTAGAGATTATAGACTGGAAGGGCGTTAGCAGCCATAAGGAAAAATGCGGCATAAAAAATAGAAATCGAATGCACGCTGGGATTTTTTTATAAACATGTTATTAAAACAATTATATACATAATTATAGAAAAACAAACAAACGATACAACATAACATATCTATAATTCAAATACGAAGAATCACTTCATACAGTGGCAATTCATTTTCTTCGGCTCAACGTAGGCACAAATTAAATTAATCGACCGCCTATTTACTGGGTATTTTCTGACGAGCTTCTTCTTCGTAATCGAAGTAGTGATTTTCTCCTGTGACATTAGCTACTATCTCATCATCATCTTCCAAGATTTCTATCGCCAAATTTTCCATCATTACCTCTTTTTTCTTTAAGCCGCGGAAGTATGGCAATAGCATGACTGCTTAGGCGGCAATAATATCTGTTACTAGTATTCGCCCGTACCCACTAACGGCGAAATTTTGTCCGCAAGTCCAGATCTGCAGATTTATTTTGTACGAAATTCGTTCGAGTATTATCTGGCTCGTGGTTAACCAGTAACGTACCGATATTTCTTCGAATTTGGCTCGCCACGTATCAGATATGACAGATATTTCGCTCGTGTATGGGGCGCTATTGAACTTCTTGCTTACTCAGACCTCAGTACTTTCGATAGGTCACAACGTTGCACATTTCATACTTATGGAGAAACTCTCTCAATGTATACTCGTTTGTTTTAGGGGCACCGATACCCGAGAAGTCAAAATCTGAAGTACCCACATATCCATCAACAAGAACGGCAATAGATGTGCGACTTTCAGCCCATCCGGCCGCTGCTGAGCGCTACCCTTCGGCGCTGGCGGATTTAGGTCGCAGTGGCTTTCAACCCTACAGACCTGAAGACCACAGGTAGACCAACAGCGTTACTACAGTAAACCGAGTTTTTGCTGAATATAATCCATGTTCTCTAGAATACCTCAAGTGCCAGTTGGTTTAGAGATGGCCGCCTACCCGACTCCTTACTCGCATTATCCCATTCCGCTGATGGAAGAACAGCTTTATTACGAGAGAATGTTGAGACCGTCGTGGCCAATCCCGCATCACTATTTGCCATACTTGGGACTACCAGCGTCCTCCATGCCGCTTTATATGCACGAAAGGTAAAATTCAATTGTGGTGAAGATGCTAGCGAAACGTCCAAAAAGGCCAAAGTGTTGAGCTCAATTCAAGTCGCTTGAGATAAACTATTGAATATTTTGTCAGGTTGAAATTGGAGGAAGAACATCGTCACCGTCTGGCGGCCGCCGCAGCAGCTCGTTCCAAAGATGCGGAACTCGAGCGAGAGCTGATGGAACGCGAAAGAGAAAAAGACCGACTAGTTCGGGAAAAAGCAGCCGCTGATGCTGCCCGAAGGGTTTCTCCACTAGCCGCGCCCCATCTAATGGGTATGCCAGTCATGCACCCGTCGGCAGCTGCAGGAATGCTACCGCCCACTCTCGGATTAGCGCCAACTGGCGCTCGACATTCGCCGCTTGGTGTTCCCGGATACCTCGCGGCGCCCCCGCAGGGTTACGCACAAGTAACCAGGTAAATTGCTGTACATACCAACAATACGTTCTGACGATTTGCATTGGTTTAATCTCGTAGAGCGTCTCCTTCACTCCAAAGACATTCGCCGATGGCTCCTGGGGCATATTCGACGCTCAACCTATCGGCGCCCCCCAGACAGTCTCCTACGATCATTCAACCCTCGGGGCCGCTTATCAATTTAACCAACAATGTACAGCCTCCGCCAGCGCACAGTTCTAGTCTGGTCAGTCAGGTCCATGTGAATAACCATCACCCGACACCAGGTGAGTCCCGATCAAACAGTTACATATGCTCAAAATTGCTAAATTGTGCCTGTTCCACCTCAACTGAGTTGTTTCTACTTTGTAGGTGTTTGAATTTTTCGACTATCGGAGGGACAATTTTTCCTTACTAGATCCAAAATACTCTTAGGTCTCGGCCTTTAATTTTCATTATTGCATAATCAATAATTCTGGTTGTAGTTGTTACAGTTCACTATGTGAATTGCAATGAATGATCGAGGTAAAACCTCTTTTTGCAGGTCACTCGTTAGGTCAAGTAATGGATAAACCATCTAGTCATTTAGTGAAGCCGCCAACACCGAAGCCGACACCGCCCCCGACGCCCAAAGCCACTCCTCCTCCCACGTCGAGGGAAGGAGGGAATTCAGGTGTGAGTGAACGGAGAACGCCTGTGAATTTGGCCGGACAAGGGGCGCAGTCCAGAGCGATGAACTGCACGAGCGAAGCGACAAGCAATGGCGACTGTGCCTGACCTCAATCAAAACACGTTGCTGGACAGTTGCTGAGTGTTGGTAAGGAATCATATTTATCGTTAGCGTTTCTGGTTTATGGATACTGGTATCAAGTTTAGCGGGTTTGAGACGGTGACCAGACAGTCTTTGTATGGGTAACTTCTACATTTTTAAAGATAGAGAATCCGTTAAATGGGCAGAATTAGATTGCCTTTTCATTGCCGTTTTCAAAATTTAGGTACCCGACTTGGTTCCTGAAATATCCTGAAAAGGCAAGAAATCAACACTTAATTATCATATAATTCGTAAACTGCTTAAATTAGAAAAAAAGTTAAAATTGTCTGGTAGAATTTTTTGCGTTGAATTCAATAAACTAGCACTCGTTGTCATAGTCAACTTGATTTACGAGATAAAATATAAACTTATGTGTTTTTAAATGGTAGTCATAGTTGGCTGTGGGCCTTTTAAAATCCTTATTTTTTTCTGAATTTAACGATATAACTGTTTGTATGTTCTCGTTTTGTTGCCGTAAAACTTAAAAAGAAGATAAAAAATGTGTAGCAGGCAGGAAGCAAGAACTCAAAGCACAAAACAAAAATGAAATAATTAACAGACACAATCATGTTTACTGGGCTAATGAAAATCATCATCTAATTGAAAATAAGCGAGATCAACGTGTTTTTTTTTGTGAATGTCCGGTGAGGCATTTTTAGTGATAAAATTCTTTTATAATCACAATTTAAATATGGAGAGATATTTACACTTTTTACCAAATGGACTTGAATACATGTTGAATAGTTTTCCGTTAGCATCGTATCGACAATTGGCATATTTTCAACATGATAGTGCACCTTCACACAACTCACGAGTTGAATGTGAAGATGCCAAAAAATGCCTGGACGTGAACGGAAGTCAATTTGAACATTTAATTTAAACGATTCATTATTGTTTTGTGCTTTTTGTTCGGGAATTCGAATATAGTTCTTGTTTCCATAGCCTACTACACATTTTTATCGTCTTTTGAAGTTTTACGGCAACAAAAGGAGAAAAACATATAAACAATTATATCGTTAAATTCAGGAAAAAATAAGGATTTTAAAAGACCCACAGCCAACTATGATTACCATTTAAAAAACCACAAGTTTATTTTTTATCTCGTAAATCAAGTTGACTATGATAACGAGTTCTAGTTTATT